CTGAGGGCTAGGGTGTCCTGGTGCCAAGAGCACATATGGACACCCTTATGCTTGAACAAGGTGTTCGTTATTTGCAATCCATGACGAGCACAGAAGTCCAACAACAGAACACCACTCGGGTTCAGATCAGGGGGGCCGTTCCTCCCAACCACACCCCTCCAGGTCTCACTGTCATTGCCCACATGAGCATTGAAGTCCCCCAACAGAACAAGGGAGTCCCTAGGAGGTGCGCTTTCCAGTACCCCCTCCAAGGACTCCAAAAAGGGTGGATAATCTGAACTGCCGTTTGGTGCATAAGCACAAACGACAGTCAGAACCCGTCCCCCCACATGTAGGCGGAAGGAGGCCACCCTCTCATTCACTGGGGTGAACCCCAACACACAGGCACCAAGCTGGGGGGGCAATAAGTATGCCCACTCCTGCTCGGCGCCTCTCACCAGGGGCAACTCCAGAGTGGAAGAGTGTCCAGCCCCTCTCAAGGAAACTGGTGCCAGAGCCATGCGCAGAGGTGAGTCCGACTATTTCTAGCCGGAACCTCTCAGCCTCACACACTAGCTCAGGCTCCTTCCCCACCAGTGAGGTGACATTCCACATCCTAATAGCCAGCTTTTGTAGCTGAGGATCAGACCGCCAGGGTCCTCGCCTTCGGCCACCACCCACCCCACATTGCATCTGACCCCTTTGGCCCCTCCCACAGGTGGTGAGCCCATGGGAAGGGGGACCCACGTCTCCTCTTCGGGCTGTGCTCAGCCGAGCTCCATGGGTAAAAGCCCGGCCCCCAGGCACTCGCCCGCATGCCCCACCTCCAGGCCTGGCTCCAGAGTGGGGCCCCGGTGACCTACGTCCGGGCAAGGGAACATCAAGTCCATTTATTTTTCTCTTCATCGGGGTCTTACGGACCTAGCCGTAACATTAAAAACAAATTCCATTTTGGTTGTTGAAAAATGTGAAAAAAGTTACAATCGATTCATAAAGAAATAAAAATATTAATGATACTTAAACTGGCCTTGGGAAAAAGGATGTTTCCTTTAACTTCACATTGTCTTGTTCAACCTGCAAACCTGCACCACAATCTTTAAATTCTTCTCCAG